AGGGAGTGGCTATCTTAAGTCTCTTCTTCTTCCCATGCTCCTGCTCTGGGCTATGTTGCCTCTTGTCTCCCACTTTTTTTTCCTGGAATGTCCTCCCTCCTTCCTGAGAACCTGGGTCTCTACTTAATTCTATCACACCACCTCCTCCTTTGTAGACCCATTCCATCCCATGTGGCTTGATCATGGCATCTTCCCAGGAAAGCCGGGGCAGCGAGTTCTGTCATGGAAAGTCTGTCTTTGTCAGCCGCTCTTTCTCTCTAGCTCTTTTTCTTGGAGGACTAGAAAAAGCAGAGCTTCTCAAATAATTTTAAAAGCTCCTTGGTTTGCTGCACCACGTCGTCCCTATGATCATCGTCCTCTTTCTCCCTCTTCCTTCTTCCAGTCAGAAGGCTTTGATTCTCACGCAGAAAAAGAAGGTGGTAGAGCTCCAAGATGGGAGAATGAACTCTACTACTTCAAGTTACCTGAGCCAGTTTGGTGTAGTGGTTAAAGGCACCAGGCTAGAAACCAGGAGATGGTGATTTCTAGTCCTGCCTTAGGCACAAAGCCAGCTGGGGGACCTTGGGCCAGTCCCTCTCTCTCAGCCCTAGAAAAAGGCCAGGACAAACCAGTTCCAAAAATCCCATCAAGAAAACTGCAGGGACTAGTCCAGGCAGAAGCCAGGAGTCAAGGCTGACTTGAAGGCGCCCCCCAAAAATCATCCCTTCAAGTTATAAGCAGAGGAAGATTCTTGGTGACATGGTTGAGAAACCCAGCGTTCCAAGATAATGTTTATCCCACTTGAAATATTTTGGCTCCTCTTTTTCCAGGTTTGGGAATTCAGCCTCTCCAGTCTAACTGTAGCTCCTACCATGGATTGATGGACTTCCAGTTGCAGATGTGCATGTGTGAGAGAGGGAGAGAATACATTCAGCATCACCAATCAAAGAAGAACTCAAGCTCCCTCCTTGAGAAGCAGACAGTTGAGGAATATAATGTGTGTCAGAGCAAAAAGATCCTGTGACCCAGTCCTGTGGGGCATGCTGGGCCCAGCTATGTGTTGCAAACTGGCCCCTCCTGCATTCCTCTCATTGGCTTAAAGACACGGCTTTGTCAGCTCCAGTTCCCATTCCCAGCTAGATTGTTTTGCCTGGAGTTCCTTCTGACTCAAGTTTACTCCTCCTGGTCTTCCCTCCAAGCCTCAGAGCCCCCCTTGTTGAGCTGGGCCTTGCATTTGCCCAGAGCATAGCCCCTTCCCCTCACTAAAGTTTGGGGTGCAGTCCTGCTTGCTAAAATGCCAAACAGTGGAGTGGCCATAAGCCGAAGAAGAACCAAACTGCTTTGGTTAGTTCTTCTCAGGTAGACTACCTCTCCCTTGGCCGTCCAGGTTCCATCTGGCCATACAGGTGGCTCAGAGCTTCTCTAATACACCTGGCTCCTTCTTGGCTCTGTATGAGACAGGGCAAACTTGCCAGGCTAATCCTCCCCAGGTTAAATAACTGTCTACTTCCCACAGTGTTTCTGGAATGAGCACCAGGTCCAGCGGTGCTTCATTTGTCCCTCTGGAAGAGCATACCTTTAGGGCGCCTTTGGATCCATCCAGTAATCACCCTCAGCATGAATGGGGTAGAGGACAAAAGAGGGCAGGCAAGCAGCAGCTAATCCCAGCTAAAGCTACTGTTCAACTCCAGCACAGATGCCTGCAGGAAAAAGACTCCTAACTTCCAAGGAAGTCAGAGATCGAGAGAAGAGCAAAAAAGCAGAGTGTTAGAATTGCCTGAGCTCCAGATTCACTTAAACCCTTCAGGAATTCGGGATAAAATGAACCTGCCAGGGTCTTTCGAGGCAAGATAGAAGAAAATGCAGTCAAATTCTGCAGCCCTCCCACCTTCAGATAGTGAATTGAGAAAGGGGGTTGAAGCATCGAGATCCACTACCACGTTTTAGTGGTGGGTTTACTTTATTGCGAGTGGTGGGTTTTTGAAGCGATGATGACGCCAGGTGGTCCTTCTTTAGTGTCCCAGCTGAAAGCCATCAAGATGGATCACTCATTTGGGGCCGTATTTTTTTTCCTTTGCAAGACCCCAGAAATATACTTCACCTCCCATGTTTGGAAGGCAAGCATGTTGAAACCTATTAAGAAATACATTACTCCTTGAATAAGAATTTAAGAAAAATCCTGTTGATCAGGATTTTTATTTTATTTTATGAACACAGCACCGCATCATTACCTTTGGAGAAATATGAAACCCTGTCTGTGTGTTAGTCTGGGACATCTTTCACCATCTTGGTGTCCTCCTTCATAATTCCTTGCGAGCTAGGATGGTGGGAATGGAAATCTAGCATGCCTATAGAACACCAGGTAGGAGAAGACTGGTCTGAGAAATGTGAGATTAAGTCAGCTAGTATCAAAAAGGAGAAGGAGCAAATCCCTCATGCATTTTTGTTTCCAACCCAGGTCATAGTCTCTTAACCACCTGGTAAGACTGGGGTTAAGTTTAGGCTACAGTTAGGTTTAGTTTAGGCTTCAGGGACAGACCTCTTGAGCGTTCTTTTTTTTTTAGTGAGGTCTGTTGCTTAATTAAGTCCAAATAAGTAAGGATGCCAACTTATATAAACTAAAGCTCTTGAAAACAGCTGTTAAAAATGAGTAGAGCTGTTTTCAATCACTTGACATTGTGTTACTGACTGTTGTTGCCAAACTGGACCTAATTAAGTTAGATTCATTATATTCTCATTGTACTTTAAAAATGTGAAGATCACCCTTCAGAACAATATAGTTCAGCCTCTAATCTGTTGTCCTTCAAATACATCGGGGGGGGGGGATAGGAGAGGCAAATCACATAATTTACATCATCTACACAATGACATTCTGATAGGCATGACATCATTGTGGGTTCTCCTGGATGTCATTGTTCAAATAATATTGTATCTATATTGTATTTCCAATGATCAATTTACAAACTATATTGTGCAGGTCAAAGATGCATTGCATTGCTTCGGATGATAACTCAAAATAAAAGATATATGAGCTACATAAAGTTCTGTAAAATCAATATAAAATAAATAGTGCAAGAGAGGACCACTGATTTCAAGCTTTCTACTTTCTGTTCCTCATACCCGGCAGTCTTCCAAAACAGAATTTTGCAATTTACCACAAGATTTTGGAATCTTTATCTACAATTAGCTTACATGAAAGTTCTCTGGAACATTTCGTATTAAAAGGGCTATCACAGAAGTTGTCCTGGAAAAAAGGGAGTAGCCCACTGATGCCATCTTACCTTCTCCAAATGGAGTGGAGTGAGGTGATCTTACATTTATTCTCAAGAGTTTCTGGAGGGAGCATGCTAAAAGGTGCAAGGATGACCACCCTGTGTTGCTTTGGAAGCTGCTTAAGATATTATCCTGCCTGGGGATTGCGCAACCAGGTCCTGGTTAACCCACTTACAAAGATTCTATGTTGATCTTCCTGCATGTCTATATGTCCAAGTTTTTGCTTTCACATCTCCTTTCTTGATATTAGCCCATTCTCTCCAACAGCCTAGGAAGAAAGCTCACTGTAATGGTATGTGGGAATGACCTTGGGAGACAGGAGGAAGAACCATGTTATCAGCCTTGTGAGGTAGTCCATACAGGAAGCACACCCAGAAGTACTAGCTCTAACTTTATTGTAAGGTTACGTTAACAGAAGTCTGAAAGTACATCTCTCCCCCCTCGCCTTTACAGTCTAAGAAACTAGGGAGGCTCCCTTCTGAGATTTCCCATATCCCCATTCCTTTTGTGGGCTCAGCTGCCTTTTATCTGACTGTTGCCTGGTCTGCAGCTCTTCCTCCTGTCTCCCAAGATCATTCCCACATACCATTTCACTCGCTTTGTAGCATTTTCTATCTTTACCTTCTGCGATATATGCAAAGGAACCAGGGTTTGTGATGAGAAATTTAATTTTTGCCAAAAGCTCCTTCAGACACTAGTTTCAGTCTTTATTAGGTCCACTGGATTTCTCTAAGCTTCTCTTGTCCCCACCTCCACATCTAGCAGGTACCAGATTGTAGACAGGTGCCACAGTGTATGTCTCCTTATCTACCAACCAAGAGTCTCAGCAAACGTTCTTGGTTCTTGGTCTTCTCTGAGCTTGGTTGTTTTCCTGCAGAGATTTCATTATCCTAATTGAGGAACTCTCAAGGAAGAAACCACAGCTCAACTAAGACTGGCAAGGCCAGCTAGTATATATAAACAACCAGCAAATCCCACTCCCCCATACCCTGATGATGTTACCTAGCCTAGTAACAAAATATCTGCAGGAAAACCACCAAGCTGAAAGAACACCAAGAACCCAACAATTCTGAAAAAAAGTTTGGAATGTCTCTGCCACAAGTAGTTGGTGTCTTCCTATTCCCCCCACCCCCCTTCTCGCCCCTTGTTGCTTTTCATGGCAGGCCAAATCTCCCTCGAAGAAGCCTGTGTGCTCGGCAGCAGCAGGGAAAGGATTAGTGCGAGCAGAGCAGGTAGGCTTCTGCGAACAGAGCCAAGCTTGGTTTCAACATCTAATTCAATTTGTTCTGCTGAGATTGAAATATGAAATGCTTGCCAGTCAGATGTTCAGGGTTACCAGGGGTTGAGAAATGGGGAGGGGGTAGCTGGGGAGGGGGGCAGAAGAAGGGAACAGAGACTCTTCTAAAGGCTTAGATTTTTATGAACATTAATTTAACCCTTTGGTTTTTTTTTCTTCTAGGCCCTCTCTCCCTGGAACTTTTCTTTTTTTTTTTCTGAGGGTCTTAAAGACCTTCCACCCATGTAATTGAAAAGTATTTGTTTCAGGTGGGTCCCCCCACTCTTTAGGCTACAGAAAGTCCTTTCGATGATAGTTTACACGTTGCTGCGAAGTTGTCAGCCCTTCAAGGTAGTCCAGACAGGACACCCAAACCATGAGTACTAACACTACCTTTATTGTAAGGTTGCAGTAGCAGAACCTTGCAAATCTGAAAGCACTTCCCCCCTCTCCTGCCTCTATTTTCCAAAGAACTAGGGAGGGTCCCTTCTGAGATGCTTTGTCCACCCCCATCCCTCCTTTGGACTCAGATTTCTCTTATCAGACCATTGTCTGGGCTGCAGCTCTTCCTCCTGTCTCCCAAGGTTATTCTCACAGCCTATTACAAGAGGAGAGATGGAGGGAGGGACAAGAGGGAGGGACAA